GATCTTCCGAACTTCCATGGGATATATGTTGGATACTCAAATGATCTTCTTGCTTTATTGCAGCCTCGCGACTGTGTTCCGACCGACTCACAGAATGCAATCGTTTCTTCGAAAATCTCATGTCCCAAATATGTCAGCTTACCCTCATATGAGCCAGGAGGCAAGATTTTCAAGTTCACTGATTCCAATTGGCAATATCCGAATGCTTAATTTTCAGTTTTTTGAACATAATACATACTATAATATCTCTGTTGAGATATATATGAATCTGTAATGCATTATGTTTCTTATAGTTTGCCTTGTAGAAGTCATCGTAAATTGATGAACAGAAAGTCAACAAGAGGATTGGAAATTTGCAGACAATGTAATTTTAATATTGATCTTGGTGTCTAATATCAAATTGAAAAATGTTACCCTCATTTCTTCGTAAGGACGAGGGTTGAGATTCTAGAATGAATTTAACTTGCCCCAGTTTCAGAATAATGATACTACCAGATATGTTCTTGAACTACGCTAAACTTTGTTGTCTGCCTAAGCCTGATCTGATTCAGATTGCTTAATCAATTCCCTTAGCTGCTTTTCAGCATCCATGCGCTCGATGATTCGTCGAGCTTCTTCTTCTGTTGCAGGAACGACACTGCGAAGTCTGAACCCGTTTCTGTTCACTTTAGCCTCTGGACGCACAGTAAAAGTGAAGTAGAACATGTTCGAAACCTGTCATATTGGATTAAGCAGCTCAAAAGTTTCTAGACATTGCTGCATTTGATAGATTCATAGGGGTTTAAATTGTTTACCTCGCTGCACCTTATTTCAGGCCTAGTAACATGGGCAACAACTTCAACATTGATCAATGGCTGATCTGGGTTGTCAAGTTCTGTGTAAAGAATGCATGATGTGAAACGTAAGAAGTCACCCACATCTACCTGCACATTGAAACAACCAACATTTATGGTATTGAGAAGGCCAATTGAAATGCTCGTTGAAGAGATGGCCACTAACTCACAGGCTTTAAGAAATCAACATGATCAACTTCTAGAAAGCAAGGCACCAATCCAGCAAATACATATGCTGTTGAGAAGGCCAATTCAAATGCTCGTTGCATCAGAAACCCTCCAAAAATCCGACCATGTATGTTTCTTTGTTGTGGTTGACAGATCAAAGAGTTTTCAAGGCGAGTATCCCTGAGAAGAATGCTGTCTCTGTCTGCTAAGGCTGGCATGTCACACAAGATTCTTCCCTCTGCTAGAAAAGCATTGAGTCTATTTGTATACCCATTTTCTGATCTCTGCATATCACCTATGTTCTTCTTTTTCCTTAACTTACTTCTGGCTTCTGCTCCCTCAAAAAGTAGTTTTTCTTCCTCAGTTTCTGGTAAAAGCCTGTTAACCAAAGCAGCTTTCCCAGTCTTAGAGTCGCGAGCCACGAATATGAAGTTTGCTGTCAGAGATGAGTCTGATGCGTTTGAGCAGTCTGCAGAAGAACCAAAAAGGTTAGATTAAGGAAAGAAATAAGTAAGCTTCGTGAAACAGCCCAAGCCTACTATTAGATAAAGATTCGACTCATTACGTGTCGTTGTCAGTCTAACAGTTTTATAACACTCTGCTAAAGAGGTAGGGCTTTGACCCGTTACGTATCGTTGTTAGTCTCACAGTTTTATAACGCGTTCTGCTAAGGAGAAGTTTCTACACACTTAGGAATTTTTTCGTTTTGTCTCTCCAACCAAGTTTCTACTCTCTTAATTCATTCTTCATTTTCCTCTCTAACGAGACTTCTACACCCTAATAAGGAATTATTCATTCTCCTCTTCAATCAATGTGAGATCTCACAATCCACTCCCTCGGGGGGCCAACGTCCTTACTAGTACACAACTCGATGTCTGGCTCTATACTATTTGTAACGTCCCAAGGCAATGTGGGACCTCACAATCCACCCTCTCGAAGAGCCAATGTCCTTGTTGGCACACAACCCGATGTCTGGCTTTATACTATTTCTAACAGCCCAAGCCCACCGCTAGTTGATATTGTTCTCTTTGGGCTTTCATTTTTGGATTTCCCGTCAATATTTTAAAACGAGTCTACTAAAGAGAGGATTTCACACTCTTATAAGGAATGTTTCGTTCCTCTCTCTAACCGATGTGGGACCTCACAATCCACCCTCAAAACGCGTCTACTAAAGAGAGGATTTCACACTCTTATAAGGAATGTTTCGTCCTCTCTCCAACTAATGTGGGACCTCACAATCCACCCCCAGGCCCAGCATCCCCAAATCCACCTCTAGTAAATCTTATCCGTTTTGGCCCTTAACGTGGTAGTTTCACGGTTTTAAAATGTGATGTCCCACATTGGTTGGGGAGGAGAACAAATCACCCTTTATAAGGGTGTGGAAACCTTCCCCTTGGGGGAAACCCGAAAGGGAAAGCCCAAAGAGGACAATATCTGCTAGCGGTGTGCCAGTAAGGACGCTGGGCCCCGAATGGGGGTGGATTGTGATGTCCCACATTGGTTGGGGAGGAGAACAAATCACCCTTTACAAGGGTGTGGAAACCTTCCCCCCACATTGGTTGGGGAGGAGAACAAATCACCCTTTAAGGGTGTGGAAACACGAAAGGGAAAGCCCAAAAAGGTCGTTACATAAAACGTTTGAAGATCTTTCTCAAAGTTTACAGTAAATTATTCTTAGAGACGGCCAAATTAAGGCAGAGTCACCCCAATGAAGCAAGTGAAAATTTGAAGATCATTGCTAAAAATTAATCATACAGAGAGAGAGAGATTTCAGGACTACTATTACCATAGTTCATAATCCATACCTTGTGATGATTGAATCATGTCTAACTGAACCTCAATTGATGATCGCCCAACCCATATGACTGAACCAACTATTTTCAAATCAGCAGCCACACTAATCGGCTTCTTCAAAACAATCCTGTCCACAGAGGCAGTCACTAGCAAAAGTGGTCTTGTTGTGCTATCAACATCAGAACAGTGCTGTCATAGACCAAACCAGGATCAATAAATTCTTCAGAGGCAAGAGAATTTCATAGATTCATAGTGCAGAAACCCTTTATCAATTACCAATTCATTTTCTAGCTCACTCATACATATCAATCAAAGCCGCTTAAAAGCTTTTCACCTAATTTCCTTGCTGAAAATGATTTCTCTCCTTGATTTTCTATGAAATGTGAAAAATCTCAACGGATGAAAGCTTGAAAAGTTCCAAGCTAAATGAAAATCAGAATAAGGTTGAGAAAATCGCATTCAATAAGTCATTGAGTTCAAAGAATCATCACATATTCATTATCAATGTCAGGATATGCAGATCAATCAGCGGAATAGAAATCAAGAACAACGAAGAAATCAACATACTCTAACGGAGATGGTACCAGCCAAGGCATCGAGATCTTCAAGCAGCTTTCCGATTCTAACCTCATTCCACGGATCTCGATACTGCTCTCTCAGAATGAAATCAGAAGAGAAATTATAAACCACAATAGTCCGACTCTGCGACGGCGTTTTCGTGAGCAGTTCGCTCTGCGGAGGTGCATCTTTAGGAGGATCGAGCAGCCTCTCGAAGATACTCAACCTAGCTTCCCACAAAGCGGTGGTGACCGGGGAATGGTGCATTCCCGGCCAGAGATTGATCGGTTTCCGAGACGAAGTGGAATTGCTAGAATCATCGCCGCTGCCGGAACTCGGCGGTAAAGTAATGGTGGAGAAGACGGAAATGGTCTTCGAAGGGGAGGAATCCGAATCCGAGCTGAAGAATCGCTGGAACTTGAAAATGCGTTTAGGTTTAGGATTAGAGGTCGAAGATTTTAGGGAACATACAGAATTCAGCGCTTGAAGAGAGAGCTGGAGTTGGGTTCTGATCTTCCCCATTTGATGAACTACATAAACAATGTTCATCAGTCGCCAAATTTATACGACCAATGACAAAATTCTTGTATCTTTCTAACCTCAAAAAAGGAAATAAATTCATGCATTAGTTTCTCTCAATTCATGCCAGCAAGAATCGTGTTTGAAATTCACTCGATTGTTCATATTTCGCTCTACATCGAAAATTTTTGAAAAATAAAATAAAATAATTTATTTTAAATATATAAAATTTTTACCAAAATTTTTAATTATGTTAAACTAATTATATATAATTAGTCTTTAAAAAAATTAATATGAATATTTAATAATCAATAATCACCTATTTAACTGAATTACAAATCAATATTTTATTAAAATTAGTATAAAAAATTCGAATATTAAATTTCTGTTAACATGTCAGTAAAATAATTCTTGTAAAATAAATTAATATTTTCCATCTTACCCTACAAAATTAACAATTAAAAAAATAAAATCTAGTAATAATTTTTTAAACATATTTATTAATAATTAAATAAATGAATTAACAACATAAATAATATAGTGATGTTTCAGTTGAGATGACGGTTTATTAGAGAGGTTTTAAAATAAATTAATTAATTAACTGAAAAAACGATTTTGAGCGGGAGCGCATCAAATAATTGTTTAATATATATATATATATTAAACAATTATTTGAACGATAATATATATATATTAAACAAATTGAAACCAGCTTTGGAATATATTGTCGTCGTCTACAACCAAACTCCAATTCTGTTATTCCATGGAAGAGCTCAGAACCGGGAAGAAAAAATGGAAATTAGTGGTAATTCGAATCACGGAAGAGAGACCATTTCGGACGAACTCTATGGAATTTCTTCATTGAAGGTAACGAAAAATGCTGGAATCGTTCTTTGTCTCTCTCTCTCACTTCCATTTCTGGATCATATCTCTCCTTCATGTTACCATTTCACTCTATTTTAGTTCCACGGTCATCCGGATTCTCAGCCCTTTTTCCCTCTTTCTTGAAAGCCCTATCAGTTCCTTCTTCGACTCCTTTTTGTTATTGATTTTGATTCTATTCTGACGCGATTGATTGTTTGTTTGTGGTCGTTTCGAATTTGTGGTGGTGGGATTTTGGATATAGGATAATTCGATTGGTTTTTTTTTTTTTTTTTTTTTCTTTTGTTGTTTTGGATTGGGAAATTTGTTTCTGGTCCAGGGATGGTTTATGGTTCTGTTCTTGAGATTCCTGTTTGAGAAATGGATTCGGCGAGGAGTTGGTTTAATAAGCTTCAGCCAAGAGATAGGTTGAGGGGTTCTTCGAAGAGGAGGGAAAATAGTGCTGGAGGGAATGAGGAATCTACTGAACCGGTGGATGAAGAAGAGCTTTCTAATATCACTAAGCAGAAGGCTGCTGCGGCAAAGCAGTACATCGAGAATCATTACAAGGAGCAAAGGAGGAATCTGCAGGAGAGAAGGGAAAGGTATACACATATGATTGCTTACAATACAACTGTGAAGTAAGAATGTGCAACCAAAGTGTTTGTTTAAATGAATCTTGTGAGGCAATGTTTATGCATTCTAATGATCACAAAAATGTTTAAGCTACAAATAGATTGTTGTCACACCAGTATATCCTGCCAAAATTATTAGTTTGTTAAGAAGTTTTTAGAGAACATGCAACAACTGCCCCTATGGATTTCATGGCTTCTTTCTCAAAACAATTATTGGATCTTTTTCTTTCTGGGAATGGAAACCTTTCATTAGTAAAAGCAGGGTACCCCCCAACAATGGAGTTTGCAACAGGACGCCCTGGTCTTAATTCATTATAGTGTGAATGTAATTAGAAAACATACATGAGAGGCTGCACTGGAAAACATAATGTATTTAGTTAGAACTAGATAGAAAACGTCAGCCCCTTTTGAGTTTTCTTTCCTGGAAATCTGCAATATGTTGGCCTTCCTTCTCCCCAACTAGCATTTGATCGAAATTATTAGGTGCTCTGGAGTTGAAATTCCAGTGTAGGTTGAATGTTTTAAGAAGATTGTGCCAACATTTTAAACTATATTGACGGCAGGAGAGGAAGAACAATGCTCCTGCGTTTCTACCCATTTTTTTTTATATAAAACACAACCAAAGTATTCTCTGATCATATATATAATTGAATCATTCAGATATGCTTACTGTCTCCCTCTGGACTTCAGTAGAGAAACTCCTTTGCTAACCTTGAAGAAAAGCTTGCCTACTCTTGAATTATCTAGTAATTTTCTGAAATTATCAATCGTCCATTGTTCTTTATCATTTATATTAACATGAAGTATACAATTTGAACATAACTAATGACAATGGTTGTTATTGTACTTTCTAACCCTAATTTTTAATAAACATGTGAAACTACCAAGTCAATTCTTATTTGAGTAAGTTTCGAGTGGATGTAAGATTTTATAAATAATTTTTATGTATGCAGACGCAATATATTGGAAAAGAAGCTGGCTGATGCTGATGTTTCTGAAGAAGATCAAAACAATTTACTTAAATTTTTGGAGAAGAAGGAAACAGAATACATGCGCCTCCAAAGGCACAAAATGGGTGTCGATGATTTTGATTTACTAACAATTATTGGCAAAGGTGCTTTTGGGGAGGTATGTTTCACCTTTTTTTTTTTTTACGTATGAATTTTCTTTTCTACATGACCACATTTGGGAACATACTCATAATCCTCCAATTAGCTAGATTAAACTAAATTCATAGGTAGGTCTTTGTTTCCAAATGAAACAACATTGTTGAATAACTAGAAGAAGAAAAGTATAATAAAGTCTAATTTTAACAAATAACTTGAGCCTATCACATTCAGGTCATGTAGAATGCACTACTGGATTCTTGACACTTATGTTGTAGGGTCAGACTGGATATTATGTGAGATTAGTTCAAGTGTACATGAAACGAGCCCAGACCCTTGTTCATGTACCAAACCCAATTTTAAACCAAATTTGTTTATGTAGTTACAATTTTGGGGGTAACTTCTTAAGTATATTCCTGATCTTTGTAGGTTCGTATTTGTAGAGAGAAGACAACAGGTCAGGTATATGCTATGAAAAAGCTTAAAAAATCCGAGATGCTTCGAAGGGGCCAGGTAATTTGTGGTGGCATGTGCTATCTTGTATCCCAGAACTTATTATTCTGTATTCTTAAGGGCATTTTGGAGATCTTTCAGGTGGAGCATGTGAGAGCTGAAAGAAATCTTCTTGCTGAAGTAGACAGCAATTGCATCGTGAAACTCTATTGTTCTTTTCAAGATGATGAGTTTCTCTACCTTATTATGGAGTACCTACCTGGGGGAGATATGATGACTTTATTGATGAGAAAGGATACATTGACTGATGATGAAGCCAGGTTTTACGTTGGAGAGATAGTTTTGGCTATTGAGTCTATTCATAAGCACAATTACATTCATAGGTCAGTAGATTTTTGTGTCCCTTGGATCCTTATCATGAATTATTCCTTTCAATTGTAAAGATAAGCTAATTCTGTTGTTCTGTCTCACAGAGATATCAAGCCTGACAACTTGCTGCTTGATAAATTTGGGCACTTGAGACTTTCAGACTTTGGACTATGCAAGCCATTAGATTGCAGTACACTCCAAGAACAAGATTTCAATATAGGGAGTGTCCGCAATGGAACTGCACAAAGTGATGAGCGCAATGCAGCTCCTACACGTACTCAACAAGAGCAACTACAACATTGGCAGAAGAATCGCAGAATGCTTGTACGTTTCCTTCTTACCGAAGTTTTGCTTCTCTTATTTTTCTTCTAGATGGCATATGTTGAAGTGAACTTATAGTTATGAAGAGATTTATTTCACGGTTGACTGTTCGCTTATTCTAGTGCTGCTATTGGGGTTTTAGGAAATTTCTTGTTACAAAACTTCATTTTCTTGGTTTAGATTATTTTTTAAAAGTATTAATTCTACTATTTGTGTATTAAAAAATCTCAACTAGATCATTCCATAAAAACATTATTAAAATTTGTTAACCAAACACATGAAACCTAATCCATCCAATATATCAACAAAATTTGTTTCTTTCAAGTAGTATGTCTAAGGGCATGCTTATTTGTCTAAACACGTATACCAACTTTTAACACATTGAAACTTTTTTTTTTTTTTGCAGAAACATCTAATTGAAAATGTAAAATATTCTAAGAATAAAAATCATAAAAGATTATGGACTACATTGAAAATTTCCTGAAAGATAGGGACCAATTTTATATTTAGCCTTATTTATTTCAAAAAAAAAAAAAAAAAAAAAAAAAAAAAAAAAAAAAAAAAAAAAAAGTCTAGTTGATTGTTTTGGTGCATAGGATTTCTTCTTTTACATTATGGTATATTGGAATTCCAGGCTTATTCAACAGTTGGAACACCAGATTACATTGCTCCCGAGGTTTTGTTGAAGAAAGGTTACGGAATGGAATGTGACTGGTAAGTCTAAACTCACATGTCCATTTAGGATGAATTTATAAGTTTTTATGATGTCTCAACTGCAAAAGAGATGAGGTTCTTTCAAGTGGCATCGATTTGCTTGCAATTTATGGTTTTTTCTAAATACTAGGTGGTCACTTGGAGCAATTATGTATGAAATGCTTGTTGGCTACCCACCTTTTTACTCTGATGATCCAATGTCAACATGTCGGAAGGTAACTTAATATCTTGTGGCTGTTGTTTAATGCGAAGAAGGAAAAAGAATTTTTAGATACTCCTTACTTTTCACAACAAAACATGTTTTCGTTCAATAAATTTTCTCTTGATGAGCATTTAGTCATCCTTTTATTTGAGAAGTCTATGAAACTTATATACTGTTCGTATTAATTTGTTGGTGAAGTCCTGTGTTAGTCATGTGATATTTTGATTCTTTTTCTTTTCCAGCCAAACCTACCAAATGATCTCTTATTGTACAGTTGTCCTTTCGTTTCAAAGCCCATGAAACTTTTATATTACTTATATGATTAACTTGATGGTGTTGCAGTACCCTGATTCTTTACTATCTCTTGGCTATATAATGGAAGGCTTGACAATTAAAGCTTTATTTCTTATTTGTATTTTTGCCCTGTTCAGATAGTGAACTGGAGAACTCATATGAAGTTCCCTGACGAGGCAAAGCTATCTCTCTTGGCAAAAGATCTCATAAGCAAACTACTATGCAATGTTGACCAGAGGCTAGGTACAAACGGTGCGGATGAAATTAAGGTGTTGTACGCCGTGTCGTTCTTAATTTCTTTTCGTTTGATTTGAAGCTTTTAAAATAATCTAAAGGTTCCTGCCTCCCAATTTGTCATCTAGGTTCATCCGTGGTTTCAAAATCTTGAATGGGATAGGCTATATGAAATGGAAGCTGCATTTGTTCCTGAGGTTAAAGATGAGCTAGACACTCAAAATTTTGAAAAGTTTGAAGAGGTAGCATGATGTCCCTCTATCTTTTGTTAACTTCTCCGAGCAAGTTGCTTTGGCCTTTGTCTCATTTACTTTTTCTCTTCATATTTCTATATCTACAGTCTGACTCGCAAAGCAGTGCATCATCTAAATCTGGTCCATGGAGAAAGGTAACAGTCTTAGCACTGGTCATCCTATTTAAAAGGTTTAACTCGTTCATATTTTTAACACTTTTCCTCACCCATGGACTTTAGAACTTAAACGAGTGATTATCAACTATTACAAGGTTTCAAACATACGACTTCATGCTTAGATAGTATGATAAAGATAAGCAGCTATTGAAGCTAACTTGAGTTGATTATATGTTGAGGATTGTTGGGAGGGAGTCCCACAGTGGCTAATTTAAAGAATGATCATGGGTTTATAAGTAAGAAATACATCTCCATTGGTGTGAGGCCTTTTGGGGAAGTCCAAAGCAAAAACATGAGAGTTTATGCTCAAAGTGGATAATATCGTACCATTGTGGAGAGTCGTGATTTCTAACATGGTATAGAGTCTTGCACTTAACTTAGCCATGTTAATAGAATCCTCAAATGTTAAATAAAGAATTGTGAGGCTCGAAGGTATAGTCAAAAGTGACTAAAGTGTTGAACAAAGGGTGTACTTTATTCGAGGGCTCTAGAGAAGGAGTCGAGCCTCGATTCAGGGGAGGCTGTTCCAGGGCCTGTTGTACTTTGTTCAAGGGGAGGATTGTTGGGAGGGAGTCCCACATTGGCTAATTTAGGAAATGATGATGAGTTTATAAGTAAGGAATACATCTTCATTGGTGTGATGCTTTTCGGGAAAGCCCAAAACAAAAACATGAGAGGTTATTCTTAAAGTGGACAATATCATACTATTGTGGAGAGTCGTGATTCCTAACACTGTACACACACAAGTCTGTTCATATTGTCGGTTTCTAATTCCCTTTTGGATGTGTTTGTATCAGATGCTCTCATCTAAGGACATCAACTTTGTTGGATACACTTATAAGAACTTCGAAATCGTCAATGATTATCAATTGCCTGGGATGAGTATGTCCTCTCACATACAGTTTGAAATATTTACTTTCAAACCTGTCATTTTAAAGCTTGATTAGCGTACCTGTCATTGTAGTTGATGTTCTTGGGACTGCTAATGAATCGTTTACTGTTGAACTATGAGTCTACACTCATATATATATATATATAGTTCTTAGTTGTTCTTAAGAGGGAGATCATTCATGGAAATTGGTTTTCTGTTAATGTGTAGCTGAACTGAAGAAAAAATGCAACAAACCAAAAAGACCCTCAATCAAGTCACTCTTTGGTATGCACCAATACTTCCCTTTTTCACTCACTTCGGACAAACGACTGATTTGAATTACTGTTTTGGAAAGATGACGAATCGGAGGCACGAGATGCAGCTGATTCATCCATACGTTGTCAACCGAGCATGGGGGGTAGCTGTTCAAACTCAATGACATCTGAACTGGATGCATTTGAAAAGAGAAAAGAGTCAATGTGACGTATTCTCTGTGGATCATCAGATGATACAGCAGAACCTCTGATTCATTTGCTAATCTTAGTTGGAATTCTTTAGTATACATAGATCCAATGTATGATATGGTGACATTCTGCATCCAAATCCTTTGACCAACTTGGTTTAACAGAAGGTTAAGTTCGATCAACAATGGACGAGACGGATTCTTGGTTTCTAACAATCGACCTTGGAGCCGAGCTGAGCCGAGCCGAGCCCGTGGCAGCGTTGTTCGGAGTCAGGTAAATAACAGATCTGAAAAAGGTTAACAGATCTTAGAAGTGTTGAAATTTACTATTCTTTTTCTTGTCTTGTTTCTTCCCACATCTAATTTGGTGGGGTTTTCTCAACAATTTGTTGTACAAAAGACACCAAACCAATAGCCAATACATGAATGTTCCAGTGTAGATAATACATAGCAAAACCAATTTGTTCCATCCTACTTGATTGCTTCTCACTCTGAACAATAATGCTTGTTTATTTACGGGTCGATATCGCCTTACCATTTGTTAGATGCTAATATTTTTCTTGCTTGACGTGTTTTATTTAGACGTGACATGTTTTATGAGGTGATGAGTCTGGTGAGCTATAAAAAATCAAGAGAGCATTGATACATGGTAGTTAGAGAATAACAAAGAAAAAGTTTGATGAACGGAAAAAAAAAGTTATTGCCATCCTAAAATGTAAGAGATCTATCAAGAAAAAAAACTTTTGGCCTATTAGTTTTGAATGTTGTCTTTTTTTCTTCTCCAATTATATCTAAACATTAATTTTGATCGTTCGTCTTGAATTATATACCAAATTTCGATATCTTCTCCGTTCATTAATTTTTGGGTCCCAAATTTCATTCATCTTTTCCGCCTATTATATACCAAATTAAAAGTTCACTCACCTATTATTTTTTTTAATATCAAGTGGGTTAGATACAAAATTTAAAATTAAAAGTAAAATAAATATAAAATTAAAAATTAAAAATGAACAAAAATTAATATATTAAATAAACAGAAATTTAATGTGGAGGAGGGTAGAGCATTTTAAGCATCTTCTTACATTGAAGTCGCAAAGAAAGGGGCGAAGAAGAACAGCAGATTTTGTTTGTTTTTCTTACATTTCATGGGGTTTTAGTAAAAGGGTATGCGTAAAACTTCGCCCAACCACATTCATCCACCTGAGAATTAGGGTTTAGGATTTGAGGATTTGAGGATTTGAGGATTTGAGGACTTGAGGATTTTAGGAATGGCTTCGCTTTCAACTTGGTTCCGGTACATAGCTCACAAGCTCGAGTACTCCGTTTCTCTCAGTTGGAAGGTATCTCTCTCTCTCTCTCTCTCTCTCTCTATTCCTATTCTTCAATTTTTCACATGGGTTTTCTTGAATCACTGCTTATTTTCTTTATAATTTGTGTTCGGTGTTCTGATTATTCATACTGGTAACATTACTCGAAATTCATTAGAAAATAATACCATATCTTGCCCTGTTGTTTGTCATCAGGCTTCGGATTTATTGTTTTTGAAGTATTCTTGGATATTAATTCGACAAGTTGTGAGCTCAAATCTCATTTCTTGATTTTTATTGCTTTGGTTTTCGATCACCGATTTTTCTTCCGAGTTTGTTCGTTGTTTATAAGTTTTTCACAATTGATTTTCGGTCACAATTGATGCATATATTTACTAACATTTTTTTTTTTCAGAAGTTGATTGTATGAATGGCTACTTTTTAAATGTTGATTATTGCCAGATCATTCCTTTATTGCTGCTATTCCCCTCCTTCAAAAAAAGCAGGGTTTATCTATTTCTTTTCAATAAAATTACAGACTGAGAAAATAGACGAGTCTTTCAATTGGAAAAAATTATTCTTTGGGCTCCAGTGTATAATTGGTTTCTTGGCCTTTTGTTGTAGTCCTCTATACTTTTTTCTACTGATCAGACTTGTTAAGATCGCTTCTATGCTGAGAATCATCTGTTTTTCCCCATTTCGATAGACGTTGACCAGACAATGCGCGTTGAAGATAGTAAATTTTTTTGTTCTCTCTTTTGGCTTGAGTGTGGGAGGAAGTATATCACCTGTTTTCCTTTTTCTGAACGAGTGTTCCTTTTAGTTTCTTATACAATCATATTTCCAATATTTGAGAAGTTGAAGCCAACCATGACTTTTTCTATGTTGAATGAGTGTGAGCTGCTGGGAGTCTGGGACTCTATAATTAAACTGTGTGCTAGAAAATGCAAATGGTTTGTAGCCAATGCCAGTTCTTGAATGTTCATACCTTCCTCGCCGGATTGTCTTAGATCTTCTGATTCCTCTATTCTATTAGCCAATCTTTACATGGTTTTATCTCTTTGTGCATATTCTTTCGTTTCCGGGTTAGCTTGTAATTATTTCTTGGTTAGCTTCTTGGTTCTCAGCTAGGAAATTTTTTAACTCTAAGAAGTGTTTGATTGAGAAAAAAAGTAGAGAGGTATTAACCATTCAAACCTTTCAACTATTTTATATAAGCAATTAAAAGAAGAATCTTTACTCTGTTGCAGAACTATAAGGGAGGTCAAATTACTGACAAAGAAGTAGGTGATGCTGTCTGGAAGAATTTACTTCAGGGAAAGCTCACATACCTACACTGGTTTAAAGGAGTGGAGATGGCCCTAACTGTAGGTGAGACAGGAGGAACACTTCTCGTACGCAAATTACCTGTGGCAAATCCAACGTAATCTTTGTCTTCCTCTTAGTACAAAATAATATATTCTCTTTTTCTGCAACAGAGTTCCCTATATTTGTCATAGATTTAAAATGCTTACTAACCTGGTCCATTTGGTTTAGTTCTAATTTATTTCCTCAATTAAAATTGATCATCTGAATAAAGTGAAGTCAGTCCTCTACTCTGTTCTTTTATACTTCAGCGGCTATTGTTATTAATTGGCAAGAAACACGCTTCATTAAGAAAGGAGAATATAATTCATTGACCAATGAGTTTTGAAGGGGGTTTGATTGTTCTACAAAATGGAAAGAGAATGATTACAAACGTAGTAATTTCTATAAATATGGATGTGGAGAGGAATAAAGTAAATTAATTTCCATGTTTGATCAATCGTCTTTTCTTCTTGAAGATCAATTATTGACTACCACCTTAATAAGTTGTCCAGGAATAGTTTTTAGTTTATTCTTTATACATCAGATGGTGTAGAAGTAGCAGTTATGTATTGGATATATTCTTTCTCTTAAAAAATCCTACCTCTGCAGTCCGACCAAATATTTCAAAGCACAACATATAAAATATTTGGCGATCAACTCTCGAGTGGTATCTAAGGAAGAGCCTTTATTAATAAAAAGATTCAATAAGTTTGACCAAAAGGACAAAACATAAGGAGGTTGTTTGAGTTTTCTAGACTACTTTTGTGAAGGAAGCACCACTTTTAGTCAAGGTAGCTGAGGAGATGTCTTTGCTGTATTGTTCGTTTGTGTCTAAGCCACTGAGATCTAGGGAGGTCTCAGAGAGAATGTACACTTCTTTGGAGCCTTCCACATTCAAAGATATTTTCAAAATAAGGTCGTGATAGGATGATGGTAGGAATATTACCGGGGTAGCTAGAAATATTATCAGAGTATTAAGGGAATATTGGTCACTAGTCAAAGAACTGGTTAGAGAGAGTGGAAGGAGATGCAGGCAGGCATTGGTTTAGTTGGTTTTGGCCTTGAGAATACTTGAGATATGGTTCCCAATACCTAGAATACTTGGGGATTATTGAATTTATTCTCCAAGTACCTCGAATGCTTTGATCTTTCCTTGGAGTTTTTCAATGCTTTATTTATGTTTTGCCTCATATCACACAGATAAACCATTCTTTGTTTCTTTGTCTCCTATATTTTTATCGATCAGTGTAAAGTTTGTTTCTGGTTAAAAAAAATATTGTATTCAGAACTGTTTGAGTCAATTGGTGCCTTCTTGTGCCAAAACTCCCACTCCCTGAACATAGAGTTCTGCTGTGAAGGAGATTATCACCAGGGTTTCCCACCCTCCATCTCCCAATTTGAAAAAGCCTTTTGAAAACTGAATCCTCTTCTTTTTGCAAATATAGTCTCAACACTCTTACATCCAATTGGAGAACCTTTTTGTAACTTTGTTGGATGCTCTTACTAGATTAGGAAGATTGTTAACTATTTTTTCCTTTTCCACCACCAAGCAGAAGACGATGTCACTTTTCTTTGGTAGATTAGCAATATGACTTCCACATTTACCGATTGAGAAGCCTCGGTGTGGCTCTCCCTTATTCATTTTTGGACAATCAATTAACCACCAAGAGAAAACAAAAGGGACGATCCAGCTCTTTAGTCGCTTGATTCTCTCTGTTTTCACCAACAGGCACATAATAGGTGACGTCGGAATTGCAGCCTTGAATCTAACCTCCTCATTTATAGTGATAGCCTCAACGAAATCTTAATCTACCTTATCATAGGCTTTTTAAATATTGAGCTCAAATACCATCTCTTCCTTCCTCTTACATCCCACTCATCAATAACGTCATTCATAATTAAAATTGGATAAGCTATTTGTCTTCCCAAAATGAAAGTGGTTTGGTTGGGAAACAAAGTTTTTGCCCAGGGTTTGATGTATCATAATAGGTGATAACAAATACTCTTCTCCTGATAACCGAATCCAAGGTTTGAAGATAGGGCATAGAACTATCGGCAATGGGCACCCCCATTACAAGTTATCCTTTTTTCGAGGATAGAGCATAGAACTCAGAAAGAGGGAAGAAAAAGGTATTTCCTATTGGTACAAGTACATGTTATGAATGAGAATTGGTTATGGTTCATGGAGTAGAAATTAGAATTGAGTCATTGTATGATGTATATGCTCCTATAACATACATATTAGGACCCTACTTCAATGCTATATTTTTTTAGCCTATACTCACCATTCCCCTTGTTTAACAGCAGATATACTTGTTTGTTGACACAGGAGTGTTTTTGTTGGAGACGTCGTGGTCGTAAAGGAGCCAGAGAAACCAGAGAACTATCTTGTCAGAAGATTGGCTGCAGTTGAAGGGTATGAAATGTTGTCTACTGATGAGAAGGATGAACCTTTCATCCTTGAGAAGGATGAGTGCTGGTTGTTGGCCGAAAATGAGAAGTTGAAGCCCAAGGTACAATCCAATGACATTGCCATAATTCTGCTGTAGTTGAAGCCATCCTGTTCTACTGTGGTGCAGTTAAGAGTTTCTTTTTACTTACCCCTTCCCTCTCATACATCAAATGGCAGGAAGCATACGACAGCCGAACATTTGGTCCGGTTCCAATGTCGGACATTGTAGGCAGAGCCATATATTGCCTACGAACAGCGGTCGATCATGGCCCGGTGCAGAATAGGTTAGCCACACCATTCTCTCTATAAAAAAAGTGCAGAATTGTTGTTGTTGGGACTGACTGAGTTGTGTTTGTTTTCACCAGTTATTATAGCATGAAAAGGGATTCACCTATATTGGAAATTGAACTGGACGTTGACGAGATGGCGAAAAATCACAAGGCCTGAAAGAGAGAATAGTATCAGATCTGGGCTGTTGCAGGTGAACTCCAAATTTTTATTTTTAAGATGGATTTGGGGATATTCAGTTCCAAATGGGTTCCAATCTACTTTGTTCTACAAGATTTTACTCTTATTCAGTTCTAAACTTTTAATTAAAAAATGATCTAAATGATAAAGATATCAATTATGTCACGCAACTTGGGTAATATCCAAATTTGAATTATCAGCACATATCAAGGAATTGTAATCATACTAGAGGGGGAAAAACTAAGTGCTTTCCAGTCTAAAATAGCAAACTGAGGGGTTAAATATCAAAACCAGTGGAGATTCAACAACTTCGTTCATAATATTAAATAGAAAACGAGTGGTTAAAACTCAAAGAACATAGCATAGTTTCGAATGAATGGCCGATAGAGATGCCTTGAGAATTCCATTATGACATCATTTCCAAGTACAATATCCACTTTTTTCAATCCTCAGCAACATTCATCAGCATAGGAATCACGATTCTTTTTAAATGCTCGCAATTAAAAATGAAATGTTACATTTTTTGGGCAGCTAATGAATGCTCATTGACTAAAATGTGACGAGCAAAAAATTTGTATTTTCTTTTGGTCTCTTAACTCTTCTACGATCTATGCCGAGTACGCACCTTCATTGTTGCCCTGACTTCAACTCATTGCCATTCAGAAGGATAAGAGATCCTATGACACCAACTTCTCTGAACCAGCCAATTTCCCTCGAGTGGAGTTCTACAATCTTCCTCGGCTATCTACTTTGGAAGTATTGACTTCTAAAAAATTCGAAGCTGAAATGAAATAAGCCCTTTTTCAGTCATCTAAAAGTCAGAATCTGATCAGTAATCATCGGATTCTGAGAAGCTCGAGGTCGAGCTCTCAGATAAGATTTCAGAAGACTCCAAATTCAGTGAAAACATTAAACCATCTTTTCTTTCATTTAAAACTACTGCTGGAGTTGATCTATCCTCCTTTCCTTCGAGCTCATTCGAACTCATTGGCTGTAGCTTGGAAGCAGTTTTTTCAGCTGTACTAGAATAGGAATTTGTGAGAATGCCATTGTCTTTAACAGCATCTTTGGGTTCTATCACATTTTCAGTTTCTTTCATATGCTTCAAGGTTTTTGATTGGAGAAGACGTGCCTTTATCTCTGCCTTAATCCTGAGAATGGAGTTATTAACAGCATTTGGGGTTTCTGCATCTTCGGATTGATGGCTTTTCGAAGACTGTGGGCTATCTGGAGGGTGAGATTGCACTGAACTATTCTTATATGAATGCACAGCCAGTCCAAGATTCTCTTTGGCCCATTTGTAGACTGCACTTAATTTTCCTTCCAAGGCTTCAAGAAGAAGATTTAAGCTGCCCATTTTGTACCGAACGACGAAGAATTTGTCACCCCAAGCACAAGAACAGAGTTGCTTAGCATGATTCAAACAAGAGTACCTATCTGCAGAACATGAACAACCAGCTGCAGACAAGTGTAAATCGTAAAGACAAATGCTGCATTCGCGCTTCCTGACAGCATCAAAAATTTCGGTTACTTCCCGCACCTGTGAAGCTGTAGTGAGATACTCCCTCCTGAGACCTTCACTTGTGATACGAGACTGCACAAAGGGGAGATCATGGCTAAACAGTTTGAAACAGCACAAAAGGGAAATCTCAGCAACATAAAATATAATTATGCGCAACTTAAGATACAAAAACATGGCTTAAAAGGAAAACTACTTGGGAAGAAGGCAAATTTCCCCAAACAAATTGATGTTCAGGAAGAACCCTAAGCCAATTGGCTTGTTATTTTTGGTTTTTTGAAAGTTGTACTGGTTTCCCCACCATTTCTTTGCAATGGTTTTCATCTTTCGTACAAAATTATTTGAGCTGGCCAATTTCCAAATAAATAAACTACTTTTTTTAGTTCTAAAACTTGGCTTGAATTTTGATAACATTGGTAAAAGTAGATAACAAAACAAAGCAACCCAAGGTGGAAATAGTGTTTATAAGCTTAATTATCAAAAACAAATGATTATTGAAATAATCAAGACCTAAATAAGTAAAGTTTGGTGATAGAGAGATCATAAGCACACCTTGAATGTCTGGGCTAATATCCCATTCTTTCCACAGGCATTTTTCCATCGCAAATTATCACTGGTATCCTTCCTGCATAATGAGAGTTCCCATTGCGCTTTCACAGTTTCAATGACTGCTCCAAGCAATAGCCTATCAAAGGATACAAGTGTCTTTCTTCTCTCTACAGAGTAGAGCTCCATAGCATTATAACCGTAAGGCAACCAGTCGAGAGGGGCGAAATTCGCTTCCTCAGTAACACTAAAGCCACAGTTAAATCCCGAATGACATGTTCCTGGAAGGACAAGAACAAACTCTCCTGGATTTTGAATGCAACGATAAATTGGTATGCCTTCTCTCTTCAATGTGGCAATTGATGGTTGACTGACCTGTATTATCAAGGAAATGTAACGTGACTCTTCGAGTAGGTGTGAGATCTTTCATTTTATCAAGCACTGGAATGAACAAATCATGCTTTAAAATACAGTCTCCTTGTCTGATTAAGTGAATTAAAAATATTTGAATACAAACTTGCATTGTACTATTATGATATACCATGAAATATGACACTGAAATTATGAGCATACTCATTCGCAAATACGATCCTAAAGAACTTAATGGTATGGGAAAAAAAACAGCTAAACATAAATCCAATACAACGCCTTCTTGAATGATGAACGTGAGAATGTCATTACTTACCATTCCTCTATGGGATCTTTTCTGTTCCACGAAAGTTTCTGGAAGGCTCTTCATGGCTACCTCAAATTTATCAATGTATCTTCCTGGAATGCCATACCATATTTTAGGAGCTCCCAAGTGCAAGTAACATAACAAAGGTAAGTGGTGTTCTTCAACTCGCTGTTTTTAAAATAGGGAAAAAAAAGTGCAACAACATATATTACTCCTCAAAATGTACAACTATATTAATAGGTACAAGACAGTAACATAAAATACTTCCAGTTAGCATGATGATCAATATGTCCCATAAGAAGTCATTTCTTTTTTTTCTACCCCCAACAGCAAACAAAACCAAGTAATAATTGAAAAACAGAATGAGCAACAGTAAATAGATTAGGAAATCTCTTCAAGAAAAAGAAACTGAAAAATGGAGTTCCTTCTCTTCACATAAAACTAAAACATAAAAAGTTTGTTCGTCTAAAAAGTAATCAAGCATAACCTCTACTAATAAACAGAAATTCTGGTACCCTTACCCAACAAGCTGTAGAAAAGCACATTCCCACGTGAACTCGAGACGATAAAATAGAACATGTCTTGAAGCTATCAAAAGAAAGAAGTGAACCGGGTAGTCTAGGTAAATTATTTAAGTTCCATCCAGAGTCCATGTGATCAACATGACCTGGTTCAATAGGACTGGATGGTGATGATGGAAATCCACTGCCAAGTGAAGGGCTACCCAAACTATCACCATATAGCACCTACAACCAATCATACAGAAGTATCAACAAAGTGAAGCTTATCTGACTGAAGAAAGTTGGAATCAAAATCTATAATCTGTTACCTCAATTTGTTCAGTTGGATTCTCAACAATGTGTCTATATTCACCCTCTATTTGATCCACCAATGGTTCCCACTGCTCTTGAAGCATGGATGATTTTGTCTCTGTATTTGTGACCTTATTTCCACTGCTGAAATATTGGGATTTAAAGTCATCTGCATAGCTTTTAAACGCTTTGAGAGTGAACTCTTGACCAAGTTCTGAGTATGGGCCCTTCTTATCACTACCACAACTTTCATCCGAATCCTTCAAACATCTATTACCGCATTCATACTCCAACCTTCTCCTCTTCTTCGTGATGTTTTCACTATGTTTAGCAAGTCGACCACAAGCATAATCCTTCTGAATCCCGTCAATCCGCTGACATTGGGCTAAGAAAGGAGAATCTTCCCAAATTTCTGTTTCCTTCAAAAGACATGGAGGCAGCCAAGATGGAGGAGGAACTATGCGACAGATTCCACTTGACTCTGCCCTTGAACGAATTCTTTCAATAAAGCTAAGTGTATCTGAAAATTCCTGCAGGAACAATTTTCAGTAATATAAATAGAAAATTCTCCTTTATGCATTAGAAAACACATTTACTAAAAAATAATAAACAGTGAAAAAAGTAAATTCCATTCATTACAGCTCAACACCTCCTCTGATGGATAAAAAACAGGAGCCTCGTCAAGAATATTTGTTCTTGCATCCTCAGGATGCCACCTTGCAGTGACCTATTCCAGAAAGTTAACGTAGACTTCAGCACATAGTGGTTTGGTGTTATAAAGTTCATAGAAAATTTTGAAACAAACTTCATTCAAATTTCAACCAATCAATTGAGGCTAACCTTCAGACAGTTACTGCATTCCGGACATCCATGTGCTACCCCTTTTGGAAGGTCAGACTGTGGAGGGGGATCCTGAACCAATTACGAAAATGGAAAATTCAATATTGAGTTATCAATAGTTAGCGGCTACTTTTCTTAATTTACAAAAATAAGAAAAATCACTCGTAAATTTTAAATAATACTATCCTACATGCTTTAAGCAAGTATTGAAACACTGTATTTTCATTGAAAAACCAAATTTCATTAACTCAAACAGCATACAAAAAGATCTGATTAAAAGGTAATATTTTGTGGGAAGCATATGATTATTAATATAGGTGAAATGATTAACGAGTCAACTTAATAGCACACATCATAATCGAGTTAGTTAAAAAGTATTTATATAACTAATATAATATCCGCATGAAACAAGATACCCAGTATATCCCAGATCCAATAAATCTATTATTAAGTTGCATATAAAAGTTAGAGATATTGACTGAAACATTTCACTCCAAAAAGAGGACAAACTGAAAAGAACAAAATAATTCACCACGTCATGCTGCATAGATTCAAACTCCAAGGAATCCTCCGTGTTTTGGTTAAATAGTACCCATGGTCTCTGTCTACAAGCCGCCTCCACCAAATCAATGGCAATCTTCCTGGACAAAGTATCTATTTTTGTTTTCTTTGTTTGAATGGAACCATCATTCTCATTTAGTTCCACCCTCCTCAGCCTGAAGGATCTTCGAGAAGTGAAACCTGGGGGAGCCAAGAGATTTTCCACTCCTTGGTTCAGTGAACTCCTTGTACAATCTTCATCCATAATCCCTGATTAAGGAGAGGGTGCAACAAAGACTACAGTGGCATTAGAACAACAGGAAAATTAACATGAATTCATGCTTACGTCCCTAACTGCAACAATTTGTTTAATAGTGCAGACATAGGTACCTTTTTCACTCGTCTAAAGCTTCATTAGCAATCAGCCCAAAAAAGAACAAAGGTAAACTGAGATTTTTTTTTTTAAACGAGAAACAATCTTTGCGAACTATACAGAACACAAATCCCCATTCTAAAAGAACGAGACTGGCGAGGAATAATTCCAAAGCTTTTTGGTAATGGAAACCCAAAAAGAAAAGTTAATAGATTCGTTCAAGGGGGGGTAGAACTTCTCCTGTAACTTTCGGTTATCGACAACAATTGTTTACTCTTTTGTAAAATTTTAGTGAGAGAGCATGTTCACAAGGTTGGTTAGAAGTAGCAGTTGAGTTTCTAGTACTCCATATAACTTAAAAGCCAATAAATTCGAAGAAACACAAAAATTGCAGGACTAGAAAATATTTGCCCGAGTCAAAAAGGGCAGGGTAAAGTAAATCTCGTAACGAATCTGAAGAAAAAAAAGAACTTTCAAGTTTAACCTGTTCAACAAAAGAACACAGAAAACAAGAAGCAAGGAAAAGAATCCATCCACAGAGAACACAATGTACGGAATTATTGGAAAGAAAAAAAAAAGAGCAAATGAATCCAAAACATAACAAAACTATACAAAAACTCAGACAACGAAACAAATTGCGAAGATTAAGAGCCAGAACAGTATTAACATTGTGATCGTACAATCTTAGACAACGAAATCGAGTTTGGAAAGTGAGCAGACGGACACAGAGAACCGAAAATCACACGCAAAAAGCTTACATTTTACCTGTATATCTTCGAATGAAAATGAGAAGAAATTTTGAATCTAGGAAGGTTAGTTTGCAGGCGCCATTGATGTTTGAAGATGCTGAAGAACTCGAAGGAGATACCAGAGCTAGGGTTTGTGGATCTGTCAGAAAAAGCAAGTTTACGGGGGAAATAAAACGGTCGATTGTTCCAGAGAATTGTGTCAACACAGAAACTTCCGATTTCTCCTTTTATTTTATTAAAAAATAGATTATTATTTAAAAAGTCAATAATAAAAATCCAAAATAATATTTTAATAAACTAATATTTAAAGAAATTTCTAATACATATTTAAAAAAAAGAGCAAAAAAATTTTAAATTTTTTAATAATATGAAATTAAAATACTATTTTTAAAGTAAAGAGAATATTTTTCAATGAGTATATTACCAAAATAATATATTATGAAAAGTGGTATTTACTATTTTACCCTTTTACTTCCATTTAATTCTAAATAAATTTAAAAACGATCTATATTTTTTTCGTAGATGAAGTGTTCATTTATATCATAGACAAATGATTAGACACGGCAAATCATATATATATATATATATATATATATATATATATATATATATATATATATATATATATATATATTATAATATTTTTAAAAAATATTATTCGAGGAGGAACAGTGATTTACATTTGAGAGTTTGATAACTTGTCGAGCTGTACAATTAGCTAAATTTCTCGAGGTTTGGCTCACAATAAACTTTCTGGTGTAAAACTCTTACTTTCCATTTGACCAACCAAAGTGGTACTTATATGCTCGGACACCAGGATGGTAAGAATATGCGAAAACCCTAATAAAAATTAAAATATTTTTAATTAAGAGTTTTAGAGATAAAACGACCCCTATATGTTCAGGCAAGTCAGTGCCTGATATAAAGGGCAAAATTGTAACGATGTTGTGACTATGAATTTTTTTTAGGGTAAATAGGAACTTATATAGGTCGGGATTTGTGTTAATGCATCTCGTGTAGAAATATACAGATTATTGGAGGCACGTTTATTTGTAAGGTGGACAAGAATGTTATGAGAGAGACCTAACATTCTTTATAAAAGTGTTGAAAATTTTCCCTAATAGACGCATATTAAAATTATGAATAATATCAGTTAGCGGTCGGCTTGAGCTATTATATGTTTATATGAACTAGATATTAAAATAAAACATTAAATTGAAAATAAAATAGATGAATGAAATTTGTAGAAATATTTTATGAAAATAATAATATTAAAAACAATTCCAAAAATTTCCCATTTCAACTCCAATTTAATGAAAATAAAAATAAATAAATAAATAATCCCGTTGGCGCATTTTTGTGGTATAAATACTCAGCTTTAACAATTTCGGCTTCCCTCTCGTCAATTCTGGACATACGGCTCTGTAACAAAACCGCCAAAGATCTGCTGCAATCCTTCTTCTCTTGAGCGTCAAATTCTTGCCGACAAAACTCCCCAGCTAAATCCCTCCGCCGTCGTCATGTCTAATGGAACTGCGAGGCGACTTCTTCGTAACTTATGTAACTGAAATTTCCTTTTCATTATTTGTTGAATTGTTACTGACTCGCGAATGTTTGAATGCTTGTATTTGAATCTAGATTGTGGGATTAGTGCAAGCTTAATGCTTGTTTGATTTTGTTTGTTATATTGCGTTTTTGGCGGTTTCATTACATGATTCTTGGTGAATCTCACTCTATGAAAATGTGTTATTGAACTGTGCGTTCTATCTGTTACGCAATCTATTTGCTGCATTGAGAAGAAAAATTGATGCTGATTTTTGTTACTCTGTCTTGTTCAATTTCTTTATAAGTTAGGATTGATAATCTGTAGATATTTGTTCGTGGAAGGCAATGTCTGGAGATTTAATCTAACTATAATCTAGTATTGAAAATCAGGGGTTTTAGTTCTTATAATTTACATTGATAAATACTTCTGGCCACAATTCTATCGTTGATTATAAAATTTAAAGTGGCTTTCTTAGGTATTAATTTACGGTCTCATTGCTACAATATTGAGGTTTTATAATTCACACGGGGTATGGTACTTACATGGATTGTCTTCTCTTCAATCCTGCAGATTCTGCCAGAAGTTATCTCAGAAAACAGAAGTGGCAGGCAAGCTCTGTAACTGTGAATAGCGTTCTTATGCATCTCCAGAGGTCAAAAGCAGATATGGTGGAAAATAATGTGCGTAAAGAAAATGAAGTTCTACCTGAAGTTTCTGTAAGGTCGGAAATGGAGAAGAATATCAAAAAAGGTTCTAAGACTCCTAAGTACTTTTCTGATGCTGAAGATATAAGTGATAGTAACCGGAGGTTAGAGCTTGCATGGTTGACAAAAGCTCTCAAATCAGCTTCGCAATTGTATAGGTGGGCACTGTCATCAGGTCTGTTTATATTAGTTGGACTTCTCATCTTTCTTGTGGGCAATCATCATTTCTTTAATTTGATTATTGCTTGAGTCCAAAAAAATGTACAGATTAAAATTGTTATTGCTTGACAAACTCAATTTTCTGTCTTGTAATTTTCTGTTGATGTACTTCTGTTTGTTTAGAACTGATGGTGGCATCACAATTTACTGTCTGCACTTATTTTTTCTTTTTTCATCTTCTTAAGTTCCATGCTTTATCTATGTCATACTCTTGGAGGCTGATGAAGTTTTTTGTGACATACAGGGGATGGAATTCAAAATCAAATTCAACCCAGAAGTCGTTCTGTTTCTGAGATCATTGCAAGTATCCAGCGGAGTAAGATGGGTATCCAGGAGTGGAGCTTGAGTGATCTCACAATTGGATTATTCCTTATATATCTCCGTCAGGCTTCAACAAATCCATTGGCGGACATTAAGGGTGTCCAGATCACTTCAAATGCAATTGTAATATGTTCACATCTTTTTCTTCCCTATAAAATAATTGGACTCATTAAAATCATGTTTGTGTTCCCTTTTTATTTTCAATTTAATAATTTTCAAACCTTTATAAACTTGAATTAAAGATCTTATAGGTAAGGATTTTGTGAATCAGGTCGAAGACCTCATCTACTACCTTGAACTAGCTAAAGGTTGTTATAAGGATTCCGCAGCTATGCTTGCAAGAAACACCATGCTTCGAGAGCCCAACATATTGAAATTTATTAAAGATTCCAGTGTTATGAGGCCTGGTTATTATATAGGGGTTGATACTAGAAAGAAACTTGTAATCTTTGGAATTCGGGGAACTCACTCAGTATATGATCTCATCACTGATATTACTACTTCAAGCGATGAAGAAGTGACATTTGAAGGATATTCTACACACTTTGGCACTTCTGAATCTGCTCGCTGGTTTCTTGATCATGAGATTGAAATGATAAGACAATGCTTAAAGAAATATCAGGTGGTAATTTATGTTTACTAAAGTTCTTTTAGCATATTCTTACGTTCTAATATCATCATGCTAGCATTGTCATGGCTGTATCTAATTCATTAACAGGGTTTTAGGTTAAGGCTGGTGGGTCATTCTCTTGGTGGAGCTATAGCTTCGTTACTAGCTGTAATGCTTCGTAAAAAGTCAAACAAGGAGCTTGGATTTAGACCTGATATTGTTTCTGCCATTGGATTTGCAACACCACCTTGCGTTTCCAGGAAGCTTGCTGAGAGTTGTGCCGACTATGTTACCACTGTAGTGATGCAGGTTTGCCACATGCAGTCCTCATGTCATATGTATTCTAGAAAAAGCTACCATTTTTAAGGAAAAATTTCCTAGTTTTACTTTTGTAGTTACTATTTCATTATGTTGCTTCACTTGAAGTCTCTGGTTTTACCTTGGGCAGGATGATATTATCCCCAGACTAAGTCTAGCTTCTTTAACAAAGTTAAGGATTGAAATTCTACAAACTGACTGGTAAGTTGTTATGCTTTATGTGAAAGGCTAAAGCTAATTTTCTATGGATGTGCTTAAAATTAATATGGTTGTTGAAGGTGTAAGAAGACATATGGAAAGCATTTTTAATGATCATGAGATGATAATATGTATACAGTCGGTTACAATCTTGTCATAATATGTATTATTATCTAAAGCACATTACCAAGTAGTTTATAAGAAGTATTACAGCTAATAAATCAAGTTAGGAATTGGTTTGAGAAGTGCGATTTCAATTTCCTCAGCGTAAGGTATCTATTTAGGAAAGTTCATGGGTCCTTAAGTTTCCCCTCATACCTAGTTACTTCTATTTAAGTACAGATTGAATAAGCATAGTCATGAAAGTTTAGTAACCAAAACTTATAATTTAACTATAGTACAAGTACTTTGAGTACTAACGGCCTTGTGTAGATAAACTTGTGATGTCTGAAGTTTGTAATTCAATTGCAGAACGTCTGTTACTATTTAGATATATGGTCAATGCTGCTTTTTGATACTTATCCTCAACTTTCTTTGAGGATGTCGAAGATGTTACACGTGGCATAGATTAGGCATCAATCTAGTTTTTGCACGAGCTATTTTGAGAAATGAAAGGGAGAAGATTGAGGAATTTCATTGTAGGGAGGAAATGAACATTTGCTTGATTTCTTGTTATTGAACATGCTAGAGGGGAAGGTAATCTCAAATTTTATGTTCCATCTGATTCAGGACGAGTGTGATTGAAGAACAAGACTGGAAAAATATCTATGGTTTGTTGACAAATGCAAAGCAGGTGGTTACATCAGTACAAGATGTTGCTCGAAAACTTGGTGATTATGCAAAGTTTACGAGCAAGAAAGGACCCTCCGGTAAGCTAATCCGTGTAAGCTAATTTGTGTTTGTTTCGTCTTCATTGCAAAGAAACCAAATATTGCTCTGTTAAAATTTTGCTGTCCCTGCCAATCCTCACGTTCTCAGGTTTACTTAATATCTTCATCAGGCATAAATTAGTTGAATATTATTTTGTTTCAATGGCTTTCAGTTAGTTTTGGTCCTAGATCGGGCAAGATTAACCGAGCAGTGTATTCATAATATTTCTTATTTTTTACCCTATCTGCACCAAATTGATCAACTAACGTCTAGAGTCTAAGCATGATCGTTCTTTTTACCTTGTATTTTTATTTTCTTATTTTTTATGCTTTTTTTTCTAAACCATTTAAGTTTCTTGCAAATGTAAATATTCCATGTCAGTTTTACCGTTTTCAACTAAATAGTTCCA